GCTTTGGACTACAAAGTGCTCAGGACAATTTCAAGATGGCTAGCTGAGATGATCCAGTCTCACAGACTACTCCAGCAAGGACTCGAGACTTGAGACAAGCCCTGCACTTTCCCATTGTGCAGAGACTGGACAACAAATGATACAGCCTTAGGCCCCAGACAGCAGGAAGTAAATTTAAGAACATGATGCCCACATTCCCAAGAGGTGGGGTGGGTGGTTTTTGGTTGTTCAATGGGAACATTGATAATTGTCACTGTTTAAGGTGTTTGATTACAAAGGAGATTATATTCAGGGTTCTTGTTTTGAAAAAAAAAAAGAGGATACAGATATGATAAGATAAAAAGTAGATTATTAAATCTACTCTAAAAAAGATATAGAAATGATAGGATGTCTACTCTGAAAAAAAGTGAGAATATGGATATGATAAGATAAAAAGGTAGATTATTGAATCTACTTTCAAAAAGCAACTACTAGATTTAAATATAGTTTTAAATATAAAATATTTATATCGTATTGGATTTGATTTTTGTATATTGCATACAAATTGTATATTTTGATACAAAGTTGAGATTATTTTTGTTGGAACATACTGCACATTTATTTCTACTCTTGTTCAAGGTATTGTATCTATACAGCTCATTTAACAATGCAATGCAAATTGCTAGTCCTTGAAAGTTGTTATTACAAACTAGGATAATGAAGAAGTGCAAGTTAAAAGTCATTCCAATCAAATTTGTAGTCAGGTTAGGTATGTTTTTAAGGTCAAACAGAGATATATTTTAGATAGACAGGTCATCTTCAAACGCTTCAGAGATCTATAGAATTTGGCATTTAAGATGTTTTAATAACAGATTCTTTTTTTTTTTTTATGACAATGAGACATATCTGCTCCTGGCAGCACCAATCTACTTCAGAAAAGATGATGGGCATCGAAGAAGCTCCTTATGGAGTTTACTTTCTTTGTGGTAAAAGTTAGCCACTGGGCAAGAGAATGCCCTTGCCTTGACTGCTGACAGTATGCTGTCCAAAATAGACAAGAAGGACACAAAAGAAAGGATGGCCAAACCTTGCCAAGACAAGGTAGGAAGGCCCTTCAGAATATCCTGCTTCACAGAAAAGTCTGTCTGATATGCTAGACCTGTAGGCTGAAGATGGATGCCCTAACGTTGCAGAGGAAACTTGGGTGATTGTCCAGGCAGCCAGCTGTTTCTGTCATTTCTCACATTTTTTTGGAAGTCACTTGCCTGCACTTCCTGTTTACTTAAGTAATATTTCCTTCTTGTGTCTCTGATGGAGCTGAAGACTAGATAGTTATAGTTATAGTTTTCCTTGTTAACAAATTCAGAAAGGGAATTTACTAAAGAGGTGTAAAGTGTATGTTTGAAAGATATCGAAAGATAATTTTTGGTTGAAAATACAAGTTAGGATAGAAAGTGAATTAGGTACAACACTTTGGATTCACCAATATATGATAAATAATGGAGTATTTTCTCTGAATTTGTCAAATGTTAATGGACTGGACATTGTTAATGTAGTTCTTGACTGTATATATTACATATAGTTATTGTTCTTATTGTGTATAGTTTTTCTTATATTAGTTATAACTTTCTTTATTATTTTAGACAAAAAAGGAGAAATGTGGTGATATTTTGTTGCACTCTAACAAAATTTGCCTGAGGATCAGAGGACAGAGCCAGCCACTAGATTAAACATAGAGGTCAGGCAGTGGTGGCACACATTTTTAATCCTAGCACTCAGGAAGCAAAGATCTGTCTGGGTCTCTGTGAGTTCAAGGCCACACTAGGCTACATGAGATTGATCCAGTCTAGGAGAGAAACAGAGCCAGGCAGTGGTGGCACACACCTTTAACCCCAGTATTTGGGAAGCACACACACATGCCATTAATCCCAGGACTAGGAAAGTTGAGATAGAAAGTGAAATGGCTGGGCAGAGAAAGGCATGTTAAGGCTTGAGGAGACAGGAATGAGAAACCCTTTCAGCTGAAGACTCAGAGGCATTCAGTCTGAGGATTTGTGGAGGAGCTGACAAGGTGAGAAGTGGCTGTGACTTGTTCCTTTGTCTCTCTGATCTCTCAATATTTATCCCAATATCTGGCTCTGGGTTTTTATTATAAGACCATTTAGGATTCCTGCAACAGCAATGTGCCCAGGCTGGCTTGAAGATTTTGTTTTGGTCTAGCATCTTTAAAGCAATCAGATCTACTAGCCTGAGAACAGGCTGACGTACAACTCTAGATTCTTAAAAATTGAGTTATGGGGTTAATGAGTAAAAATGGTCATAAAAGATAACTGTTTATCAATGATGTCAAAATGAGGTAAGATGATTGGAGAAGATAACTCTGTTCTAGTATAGTTTATCAATGATGACTAAGCGATGAGCAAAAGTAGTGAAACACATGTCTCAAAACAAAAATGATATGATCTATGTTTTAGAACAACATGAATCTATCCCTGTTTACTAAATTCTATATAAATAAAGAAGCACTCTGGCTGCTAGTCAGTCAGGCTGCAAGATTCTCACCGCCACCATGGCCTGGCTCACCTCCTTCCCTCACCAACTCCTTACATTGTCTGCTAGGACCTGTCCACCACTGGGGATGACTCATGGCAAGTCTGCAACTCTTCTTGGCAGACAGATATCCCATGACTCTGACATCTCCATCTTGAGGTCTCCAAGGCAATCCAGGCTTTATCTTCATAGCTTCACTCAATGGCCTTTCTGGGGATCTATGCAGGGATACCCCTAACACATGCTTGGCCACATCAGTGCTTCTCTGAGCCATGGAGGAAGATTCCATAACACTCTTCCTGTATCCTTGATTCTAAAGCCATAACCATGTGGCCGAAACTCACAAGTTCTGCTGCTTGATGGGGCTGGAACATGACCCCCTTGTTCAATTACTTTTGTTTGCATCAGCTTTATGTTGTTGTTGGTCTCTTTCACTGCTTAAGCTTTTCTTTAATTCTTTTTCACAAGCTGGAAGCTTAGCTGGGTGGGGTCTTGCCCTGATGTCACCACTCCTATTGTTCTATTTATCAGGATTTCCTTTAAACTTTCTATCTCCTTGAGCACTGGACTTGGCTCCAACATCACCTATCCTAGTACTCTGTTTCTTCTCACACTGTACATTTTGTGTTTCTCTTTGTCTGGTTTACACTTTTACATTATAACCTGCATAAACGTGATTGCTAATAACCACATGACATCGCCAACACTAGTCTGTCTTGGAATCATCTCTGCCAACACCTTTAATCCAAAACTCTTCAACTTAGCCCCAGGCAGATTTTTAGAACAAGGGTAGAAAGCAGCCACATTCTTTGCTAAAATAGCAAGAATGGTTTCTAGGCCACTTATTACTATATTCTTCCCTTTTGCAACCTCTTGAATCAGCTCTCATCATCTACCTTGCTCTCAGCACCTCTGCTTTCCATGCTTCTGTTACTATGGCCCATGAAACTACACTCAAAGCATTCATTTTTTTTAGTTCTAAGTCCCTGAGTCTTCTATATTTCTTCAACAGACAGTATGGTCAGGCCCGTCACAGCAATATTCCAGTCCCTGGTACCAACTTTTATCTTAGTCACTGTTCTATTGCTGTGAAGAGACACCATGATAAAGGCAACTCTTAACACAAGCATCTAATTGGGGGTTTGCTTGTAGTTTCAGAGTTTAGTTCCTTATCATCATGGCAGGGAGTGTAACAGCAGGGTGGCAAGCAAGGAGAAGTAGCTGAGAGCTTTACATCCTGGTGGGGAGGGTGAGGAGGTGGGGGAGTGGGGGAGTGGGGGGGGAGGGAGAGGGAGAGACACTGGGCCTGGCATGGGCTTTTGAAACCTCAAAGCCCACCCCCAGTGACACACTTCCACCAACAAGGCCACATCTCCTAATCCTTCCAATCCTTTCAAATAGTGCCACACCCTGGTGACTAAGTATCCACATATATGAGCCTATCAGGGTCACTCTTATTCAGACCACCACACCAGGCTGCTAGCCTCCTCAATAGTGCCCCTCTCTCCCCACACACAACCCTCCTCTCATAGATTTCCCTAGGAGTCCAACAGTTAGAGGCTACAGACCTCTAGAATGCTTGTGTCCTGTTGCTTAGTCCACTTGCCTCCAGGACTCCAGGCTGGAGCAGAGCTGCCTTGGGGTGAAAGTGGATGGGCAGGATGAGGGAGAATTTATTTACTTGTCCCCTTTCCCAGGCTCCTCAGCCAGCTGAGGACCCATAGACCCAGCTGTCTGGTATCTCAGGGACCCCTAAGGGTCTTGGTGATTTATACTCAGCCTTGGACTTTCTGGACTCTTTTCCCTTAGGCTAGGAGGCAGAGCAGAGCTGGGAGGACCCTTCAGCCCCTCAGTGGGCCAGAACATGAATCTTCCAAGCAGGCAAGCTAGGCCCAACCCTGGCTCTACTCCTGCATCTCAGCATCTAAGCCTGTTTCTATGGGCACACAGGAATGTCAGTGCCTGCCTCAAGGCTGGACTGTGGGGACGAAGAGGTAGCAATAAAAGCCGGTGATACCACCAACCTGCCCTACACCTAGACTCTCACCCAACCTTTGTCTAGTTCTCTCTTAAGACAGATCCCATTCTAATCCCCAGGAGTGTGAAGTTCATTGCCTGTGGGAGAATTCCCACAGAGCTACACCTGCTCTTAATCCTAGCCTTAATCCACCTTCTGCTTCTCGGTTACTTGGGTTTCTTGTTGTCTTCTAAGTGAATCTTGCCTGAGAATTTCCCAAGGGTGCAAAGCCTATGCAAAACTTGGTTGGGAAAAATTCCGCCTACTGCGATATTCTTTAACCGAGAATTTGCATTTGGCATTGTCCCTTTGGAAGCTTAATTAGGATGTTTTGGGGATATGTAAATCAACTTGCTGAAAGTGGAAATTGGAGAACAATAAAAAGGCCCTTGGCGGGGGAAGGTGTCTTCCTCCGGGAGAGGCTGAGTCCCTCTGCAGCTGGAAAGGCTGAAGATTCATCTGTGTCTTCCCACAGACCTGAGTGAACCCACACCTGTTCAACAGTTGCCTCCGTCTGACTCCTGCTCAGAGCTGGGAAGGGCTCCTGCTGGCTGGGAAGGTTGTGGAGAGGGGAGAGTACCTAGCATGTGGAGAAAGTGAACTGGGAGCCCACACTGCCCTTCAGGACTCTGCAGCGCAATGAGCTGGACACCAAGGAACATGTGTTGGAATGGGTACGATCTGTCCACGGGAGGTCTGGGTTGGAAGGCTGAGAAAACCTTGCTCTGAATGCGACCCTAATTAGATGGTGCAGACGAAGTCAAGAGAACAGGGAGGGCAATGAGTGTTTACATGCGCATGCATGTATATGTGTATGTAATATGTGTGTATAGATGTGCATGTGTGTAGATGAGTGTATGGACATGTCAGGCAGAGAAAGGCAGGGACCAGAGGTGTGGAGTCACAGCGTGCTGGCTGCCAGCCTAAGAGGATGTGGTTTTCAGTTATGCTAGTTCAGAAGGAGCCCGGGTATGTGAAAAGCAACCTTTCTCAGGGCCTCGGGGCTAGGCACTTGATGTTATGTGTGGTTCTGGGAAAGTGGACTTCCACAAGTCCCTTTCTCCCTTTGCTTTCTCAAATCTGTCTCTCTGTGTGCTTGAGGTCACCAGAATTAGAAGGAGGGGGTGACACTCCTCTCAGCTCTCAGGATCTCCAACTGGTAGGTGACTGGGTGGGTAGCCGATTCCTCCCTGGAGAGAGGCTGATGGTAACCCTGCTTCCCAGGCCTCTATAGCATGGAACATCTGTTCCCCAGCTGCTGCCACTGCTGCTTGATAGACAGTCACCCCTGCTCCCTTCTGGGGGGTCAAGTTACAGCCACTCACCTAGACCTTGCAGCTATTGACTGACTAGCACAAGAGGCTGGTCTCTTGTGTCAGGTTGAACCCCACATGAGGCCCCGATGACCCCCCTTGTTTGTTTCTGCTGTGGAGAAGGGATACTCACCTGTCCCAGGGACCTGTGCTGTGGGCTTCAGCTGCGCTTTCTCATCCAGAGCTGCCTCAGCAGAGTCACAGGAGGAAATCAGAACATCTTTACGGCTTTAGACTTTGGATCTCTTCCTTCCAGGACCCGCCCCTTGCTTACACTCCCACCTGTGTAGAGCTGCATGTGGGGACAAGATCCTTTAAAACCACCTCGCTTCCAAAACCGAGCAGATTTTGACAGTTGCAATGTTGACAGTTCAGACAATTAATGGAGCAGAACTGACGGAAGGCATTTGTCATGTGGCGGGGGTGGGGTGGGGGGGGTGGGGGGTGTCAGCAGTTGAGTGATTTGATTATTGAAATTTTCAAATTTTTTTTTTTTTTTGGTTTTTCGAGACAGGGTTTCTCTGTGTAGCTTTGCGCCTTTCCTGGAACTCACTTGGTAGCCCAGGCTGGCCTCGAACTCACAGAGATCCGCCGGCCTCTGCCTCCCGAGTGCTGGGATTAAAGGCGTGCGCCACCACCGCCCGGCGAAATTTTCAAAATTTTTATTTGTGTGCGTTTGATGTGTGTGTGTGTGTGGCAGGGGGCACCCTTGCTGCTGTGTGTGTGTGTGTGTGTGTGTGTGTGTGTGTGTGTGTAGGTCAGAGGATAATTTTGTGAAATTTGTTCTTTCCACCTTTACACGAGTGCTGAGGATTGAACTGATATTACCATGTTGTGCACTAACTTTAGCTGTTGAGTCATCTTATTTGCCCCTGAATCTTTTCAATTTTTTGCAAGTCCAAGTATCAACACAGTAGAAAGATTAGTATTATGACTGTAAGAATGATAAGCGGCGCTGGTTACTGGTGCTGGTTACTGTGCAGAGAGGTCACGAGGCATAGCCACAATTACCTACTATCAGAGCTTTATTAGGAGGAAGAGGGGTGGGGGCAGAAGAACCAGGCCTGGGGGAGACAAACGTGCGTAGAGCAGACAGAAAGATGGTTGTGGGGGAGAGAGAACAGAACAGAGAGAGGGTAGGGTCTGAGTCATGGCTCTTTGAGGCGCAGGTGGGCTTACAGAACTACGACACGCATGCGCAGATTGCATGACCATACTGGCGGGTACATAATCACCGGCGTACACTGATAACGTAAGACACAAGACCCTTTGCTTAACTCCTGAACTGCGCATGTGCGGTCATGCAGCTGGAGTGAGGAGGGCAGAATTCTAACAATGACCCTCCTTGTGTCCCTCCCAAAGGGAGCTAGGGCCATCCTTAGGTCTTGGTTGACTTTGATCTCTGGTGATAAGGAAGACTCAGATATACTGTCGTCTTTGTAAGCATGTTAGTGCTTATTTGAAAAAGATATGGGTTTAAAACTATGGTCATGTGACCACAAGTGACAGCAAGCCCTGAGAGTGAAGTCCAGCTGCCACCAAACTTGCAGCCTGTGTGACTCAAAGAGGAGAACCCATCAAAGGCGCGTCTGGATCTTGCCCAGGGCCGTGGCGAGACAGTGAGTGTGTGTGGCTTCAAGTTGTCCAGTCTGTAGCATGCAGAACTAGCGGACTCCTGTGCTTTTCCTGTTTATCTTTGCTCCAGTTTTAAAAACGGAGGTAATAACACATATCAAAGTGCATGCCGCATATCCAGTTGGTTTGTGTGCATATGTGTGTGGTTTATTTGTGGGCACATCTCTCGGTGCGGGTGTGTTTATGGGTGTGTGTGGTGTATATTCGCCTGTGTGTAGGAGCATGCACACATGTATATGTTGAAGCCAGAGGTCCATGTTGGGTGTCTTCCTCAGTTGTTCTCCATCTTGCTTTTCTCTTTTTGTGTGTTCAAGAAAGTTGCTTTATTGATGATGCCTCAAAGTGGAGTTAACCTAGTTATCCATCAACAGGGAAGTCAATGAAAGTGGTAGAATAAAACAAAATGTTTACAAAACTATTAAAAACAATAAAATGGAAATATATGATGTTATGGACAAATCGCTAACATTTTATTCAGTAAAAGGAGACAGACACAAAGAAATACACACACTGTATAACTCCATTTGTGTGAAGTTTAAGATCAGGCAAAGCTATCAGTGTTTAAAGAAATAAATAAGAATCCAGCTTTTAAAAATATTTCCTACCTGCTCTGGGTGGAACTTGACTTCATCATAGGAATAAAGCCAAGAGTTAGTTTCCATGCCCCACCCCCTCTGATTATTAAGTACAGTCTCAATAACTGTGGAACTGACCAAATAGGGAGCTAGGAGCGAGCCCCTGGGAAGCAGTGAGAGTGCCCCCTCAAGGTCCCCGTGCTGAAGTACCATCCTTTTTGTCAGCGATCAGAAGCCCAAGCGGACAGTGGTGCTGAGGGGTAGCAAAGCCTTTGGGATGGGATCAGGATTAGAAGGGCATCAGAGCGAGGCTTCCATAAACAAATCCTACTGGCTCTGTCAGAAAAGGAGATATAGTGGAATACATCATCTTTTTGTCTTTTGACATGTGATGCTTTGTGCCACCTTTAGACTCTGCGGGAAGGTTACTGCCACATGTGACCTTTTGGTCTTTAATCTCCAGAACCGTGAAGTAAATAAATCTCTCTCTTTTATTTTTAAGGTTATACACCCATGGGTATTTAATAATAGATTGCTACAGCATCTTTCTGTAAAGACAGAACTCTCTGAGGTAGGTGTGCTATGATTCTCCAATAGAAATTATTATTATTATTTTTTCCAGAGCTGAGGACTGAACCCAGGGCCTTGCGCTTGTTAGGCAAGCATCCCACCACTGAGCTAAATCCCCAACCCCTCCAATAGAAATTATTAAAGAGATACTGACACATGTTCTGCCATTGTTTGGACTGAGTTTTCTCCCATACTTTTATCCAAAATCTTTGCTCATTGTCCTGAAATAGAAATGCCCATTCCCAGATGGTATTTTAAGATCTCTTATTCACATCTGTCTCAACATAAACTTGGTAGAGGTTTGCTGTGGGATGTCTTTCTGTATGCTGTGAATATGTGTTGCCCCGATTAGTTGTTAAATAAAAATGCATTGGCCTATGGCAAGGCAGCTTAGAGGCAGGTGGTAAATCCAAGCAGATATATAGAGAGAAGAAAGGAGTCTGGAGAGACGCCAGCCACCGCCAAAGGAGCAATAAGCCAGCAGACTGGTAAAGCCACAGAACACGTGGCAAAACATAGAGTAATAGAAATTGATTAATTTAAGATAGAAGAGCTAGCTAGTAAGAGGCCTGGTTACCTCCTGCCTGCTCTTAGTGGGATACTTACCCAAACCTCTGATTAACCATGAACAGCCCTCAGAAGACCTCAAGCTTAAAAAGCAAAAGCCACCATATTGAGACCAACTCAAAATCCAAGCCACGCTGTTTATTTGTCTCCACAGTATGGATGGAACAAGCCATATGCCAGGGCCTACGAACACTGGGCTGAAGGTGTCTTCTTCCTGTTGGGACCCAGCCCTGTTCCCATGGTAACTCTCAGGGACACCCTTGCTTTTCAGGCAGGGGTGGGGTATGGATTCAGGAGGGCCACCTGTTGATGATGACCTGGGTGGAAGAGTCAGTCAGTCTCCTCTGCGTCCTCCTGTCCTAGCATGTGGGAAGGGCCAGAGTCAATACCAATGTCCTATTAAAAAAGGAAGTTCCGGGAGGGAGTGGGGGCAATACCTGGCTTAGACCCAAGGACCCCAGGGGTGCTGGATCGGCCTTGTGGTTGTGTAGTTTAGCACTTCAGTTTCCAGGTGGGAAAATGAAAACCCAAAGATGTAACAGCAAATGACAATGGACAGAACTGGTCATGGGGACCAGGAGCCTGGAGGTCAGGCCCACTGCCTTGCTCTGTGGTAGGGCCAGAGCCTCTGAAATGCCAGTCTATTCTGGAACATTCTGAGTTCTCCGTGCTTAATGACCTTCTAGAAGGCAAACCCGTGAAACCTCCGTGATGCCAAGATTTCCCACGATGAGCAGAGGACAGTGCAGAGGAGCCCAGGGGACATCTATGTCGGGTGACAGGACTCGGGGTGGGGTGGTGCCCTGGACATCAGTCCTATGTCTTTTTTAGGAAGACACTACTGGAGGAAACGGGAAACTGAAGGAACACACCACTCGGTGACACACTGCACGTGACTTGGAGGGCCTGACTGGGGAAGGGCTGCCTCAGAACGAACAAGGTGAGGGTGGAGAGATGCTGGGTAGAGTGGGAAGCCTGGACTCCAACCTGCAGAAGAGGAGCTGCGATCTTTTACTCCGATGACTCCTTGGGCATATATGCCACATTGTCATAGGCAGGAGGTGGAGAGACTGCCGGGCTGGGGATGTTGAAATCCGTGCCGAAGGCGTTGGGTAGGAAAATCACAGACTGCAAAGAAACAGAAAACCCCAATCCTGGGTGGCTCTGCGGGAGTGTTGCAACAGTGCCGCCCTGTGGGCATTCTGAGAACAGCGCCTTAGTACCGAATGCTCATTCACAAAAAAAGCATCGTTTAACATTTCAGAAAACATTTTCTAGGGTTAGTTACGATCCAGGGCTTGGACACACCGCAGTGAGCGAAGTAGACAAACCTCATTTCTCTAGGGGCTGGTGAGCTGATGTTTCCTCTCTGGACAGCCCCTCTGAGTTCGGGGCTCTATAGCTCTTGCCTGAACCGTTACAGCTCTGGTCCCGGCTGCTTCCACACTAGCAGCCCCTCACTGTGCTTGAATCCAGCTCATCTCACCCCCCCCCCCCCGGTCCCCCCGCCTCGTTCCAACTTTAAATGGCATCCACTAGCCAATGGCTGCCTTTTCATGCTCAGACAAGCCTTTGTGCTATCAGTACCCCCTCTTCCCACCCTATTTTTGCGCCCCCCGCCCCTTCCCTCCCCCCCCCCCCCCGTGAAAAATGAATTTAACTTCTACCGAGTCATTCTGTCTTATCTGATGTGCCTACCTGTTCACAGTCTGTGGACACCTCTGTGCGAGGTGCGCCCCTCACCCACCCCAACCCTGTCCTCCAATTCCAGAAGGATCTCAGCTCTGCCGCTACTGCTGGCACCCTCCCCCCCCCCCCCCCCCCCGTGGCCATGGGGTGAATAGTCCCATTTCACAACTTTGGGTCCCCTAGCATCTTATTGGAAGCTCATCACAGCTCAGCCGCGCGAAGGGGAAGTGGGAGGGGCCTGGAGGCTCAGTCTCTTCCCAGACTACAGGCATTCCTCGGGGGCTCTGGACAGGATGTGAGAGTACTCACTGCGTTAGTGTGGGCGCGGGTGGCTTGGCATCCAAAGTGGGTGGCGATGACAGCGATGAAGAACTCCAGGATGGTGAAGATGGTCAACACAGCAAGGTAGCCCCTGCCCACATCCTGGGGACCCAAACCACAGTCAAGTCAAACCGAGAGTTTAAAAGTGAAGGGACCCTCTGGACCAAGAATAACTTGCCCAGGCAAGAGGCAGAGGTATGCCTGGATCCGGCCTTCCTGACTCCAGCCCCGGCCCGCTCCTTCCATTCCACCAGGCTTCATCTCCCTTCCCCCCACACCCGATCTTGGGGTAGGGCCACGGTGTCAGTACACGCGTGAGCTCTATTGGAGCAGCAGGCTCTGGAAATAGCCCAGGGCTGCGGACGATTGGGTCTTCCCTAGTCCTGCCTGCAGCCCTTACCTTTCCAGGTTTAGTACCCCCCGCGACATCTGCAACGCACCCAGTTAGTGACACCGAAGTCCATGAGAAGAATGGCTGTCCCAGCGAAGGCTGCCATGGCACTGAGGATGTTGGTCCCTAGGCTGCTCCTCACCTGTGGGAGGGACAGGCACCAAGGAGAGGCAAAGAGGAGAAAGGACCAGAGGCGCCCACTGACTGTGCCCAGCTTCCCGCACTCTCCCTCCCATGGCCCTGGGGTTGGGGCCATGAGCCCTGCACGTGGCTGGGTTTTCTTTTCTCACTCTTCTTTTTCTTCTCTTTCCCTGGGACCCCAGGAAGAGGCCCCGATGCCTCCTTTTGCTTCTTCATCCTCTTGGGAGCTGCTGGGGAGGGGACTTGATCCTCCACGTGGCTTTCCTGGGCCAGGTTTGCAGCAGATGCCTGCCCCCCCCCCCCCCCCCCCCCCCCCCCGCCCCCTGCACTTCCCTTCCCCCAGGCTAGGCCCACCCACTGAAACAGCTTAGTGGCTATTCCTCAGGGGACCCTTCCTGCATCGGCTTCCTCTGAATGTCTGTGAGGGCTTCATCTCTAGACCCTTACCATCTCGGGTGGCATTTTGCAAGTGTCTGCTGTGGGATGGTCTGTATGTCAAATGTGTTGCTGATTGGTCAATAAATAAATCACTGATTGGCCCGTGGCCAGGCAGGAAGTATAGGCGGGACAAGGAGGAGAATAAAGCTGGGAAGTGGAAGGCTGAGGCAGAGAGACACTGCCAGCTGCCATGATGACAAGCCACATGTGAAGATGCCGGTAAGCCACGAGCCACGTGGCAAGGTATAGATTAATGGAAATGGATTAATTTAAGCTGTAAGAACAGTTAGCAAGAAGCCTGCCACGACCATACAGTTTGTAACCAATATAAGTCTCTGTGTTTACTTGGTCGGGTCTGAGCGGTTGTGGGACTGGCGGGTGGCAGAGATTTATCCTGACTGTGGGTCAGGCAGGAAAACTCTACCTACAAGTGTCCCATCTCTTCCTTCTGTATTTGGATGTCTAAATTCCTTCCACAGACACTTAGAAAATCCCCACCAAATGCTTGTTGAATGGGCCAAATGAGTGGGCAGATGGGGGCCAGGTCCTGGGTGCCTCCCAGGTGAGTGGGCCCCATCCCCACCCCTGATTCTCTGTCTCCATTCAGACTTACCAGGCAACTGGTGTGGTTTTTCTCAGCTGCTACTGAGAGGGACCCAGAGATGATGAACTGTGTGGGGAAGAGAGGGCCCAATGGGGTTTTGGCTGGGACACTGACCAGGGCACATCATGCCTAGGTTCCGTCAAGAAGACAGAGGTACAGGCAGAGAACCATAAGCTTTCTTGTCTGCATTCTGGCCAGGCATCTTGGGTGTATTTCTAAGGGTGTCTTAGTCTTCTGTAAGAGGCCTTTGTCCTCTGGCGTGTGGTTCACGCCTTTAGTCTCAGCACTTGGGAGGCAGAGGCAAGCAAATCTCTGTGAGTTGAAGGTCTGCCTGGTCTACATAATGAATTCTAGGACAGCCAGAGCTACAAATAGAGACTCTGTTTCAAACAAACAAACAAACAAACAAACAACAACAAAAAAGAGGCCTCTGTCTTGAGACCTCAAGCCATAGTTTACAAGGTATGTGTTTTCATTGACATCATATTACTAAAGCCTCAAAGGACATGCACCTTCAAATAGTCACTCATCAAATATTTACCAAGTAGCAGGTGGGTGTCAAAAACATAATAGAGCTGGATAAAATGAATAATATCCTTCTCTCATGGGGCTGATATTCAATTGGGCAGCAGCCCCAGATGCGAGGGCATGTGTGCATGTGTGTGTGTGTGTGTGTGTGTGCGCGCGCGCGCGCGCGTGTGGGCCAAGGTCAGCCTTGGGTGTCAATCCTCCTCAGGAGCTGCCTGCTTTGTTTTGTGAGACGCTCTTACCTGGACTTGGGGCTGACCAGTGACGCCCAGGGAGAGCTGCCTGTCTCCATTTCTCCAGCCCTGGGATTACAAGCCCAGGTTGGCTGTTGACAAGGATGATGGAGACAGGACTCAAGCCCTCATTCTCGCCACGCGAGGGCTTTGCACGCTGAACGATCTCCCGAGCCCTGTGAAGTTCTAAGATAAAGACTGAATACCGAGCTTCACATGGCCTGCCCAGGCCTCAGGACCCTGCTGTCTCCTGAGCCTGACAAGCATGCTCTGATTTATTTTCCCTCCTACCATGTGCACGGGGCACATGTTGCGAGAGAATTTGAGGCAGGAGGGAGCTCAGAGAAGAATGCTGCCTTTGTTTCTTCCTGAGACAGTGCCTTCTTAGACTCCTGCTTGCCAGCATTTTCCTCCAGCTTGGGCCCACTGCGGACCATTAGAGCCAGGACATAAAGTTTGTTCCCAGCCGTTCAGCTCTAGCTGTGGAGTTTCAGCAGTGGTGGCCTCTCTGGCTCTAGCCAAGACAGTCTGGGATACACAGAAGGGACTCCACCATCATACACAGTGGGGCTTCAGTGTAGACCCCATTAAGCTGACCCCAAAGCCTGTGTGCTTCCTGGAGGTAGCTGGAGGCTACCCACCACCAGAGCACTGGCACTTTTGGTAGCGCCACAGACAGCAGTACCACCTTGCAAACTCCTTCTCTTTGGCACCTAGGAGCAGACAAGGAAGCCCTGATTTGGTTCTCCAGTGGGGTATGGCCAGAGGAATGGACACAGGGCAGGGAGAAGCCCTGGAGATCAGCTCAGTCAGGGCTGGGACCTACAGAGGGAACTGAGGGGTTTTTGCTGGTGGGGTATGGATGCAGGGTTAGGACGCAGGTAGCCCAGGTGTGATTGGGACTCTGGCTTGCTTGCTCCTCACAGTTTCTGGCTGTTTCCTGGGAGTGAACCAGGCTGAGGTTTACGATGATGGTTAGGGGTGAGTGATAACTATTACGCCCTGGTTAGTCTGGGAGGCGAGTTAGATCCTGACCTAGGATGGGCAAAGGCTAGGAAAATGTTGGGAGTGGGGCAGGGCGAGGTGATCTGGGCAGGGTCACGCCCCAGCGTAGGACGACAACCCCGCACTCACGCAAGCTCCGCCCCAGAAGGGGACGCCACCTTCAATGAAGAGCATCCCCAGGTGGCCTCGGCGAACCATGAGCAGGACGCTGCCGAAGCCAAGGTGGATGAGGCCGATCAGGATCTGCACGGTCTGTGGGAGGCAGCGAGGGATCAGGCCACTGAACTCCACAGCGCCCCCTGCGGGCCTCTCAGGAGAGCGGCCAACCTCCGTAGGTCTGGCTTCCCACAGCTACTCGGAGTCATCTCCGATTTCCTTAAACTGAGGCCAGAGCATTAAATCAAAATAGAGCAAGCTCTCCTCAGCCCACCAGCATAATTTGTGAGTGGGGCTGTAGTTGTCAAGCGGTTTCAGGGTTCTAGAAGCAATATCTTATTTTAGAATGTCTTTTGTTTTGTTTTTGGAGACAGGGTTTCTCTGTGTAGCCTTGGCTGTCGTGGAACTCGCTCTGTAGACCAGGCTGGCCTCGATCTCACAGAGATCCACCTGCCTCTGCCTCTAATCCTCTGCTGGGATTAAAGATGTGTGTCACCATCGCCTGGCCAATATCTTATTTTAATTTGCTATCCCTAGTCACCTTACACACCACTAACCCTGATACAGCTTTTAGGATGGAGTTCTGCATTCCAGCAGGTTTGAGTTAGATATGTTACATATGTTGGCCGGTGAAAGTTCACTGCTCATTCTGTTGGGTGGGGCTTGAACCTCTTTTGGTTCTGAGGGCTGCCTGGTTTCATGAGTTCTGGCCCAAATAAACTCTGTTATGATTATGAGCAAAGAACAATGATGCACAAGTATAAACACATCATTATGAAACTCATTTTATGTTGTACACTAAAAAACCTCAACTGAATTTGAAGCTTTTGTTTTTAGCAATTCACATGCCTATTTATCCATCACCTTTAAAAAAAAGATTTATATTTTATGTACAAGTGCTTTGCACTTATACCTGCATGCCAGAAGAGGGTATCAGATCCTATTAGAGATTGTTGTGAGTCACCATGTGGCTGCTGGGAATTGAACTCAGGACCTCTGGAAGAGCAGCCAGTGCTCTTAACTGCTGAGACATCTCTCAGCCCCCATCACTTACTTTTTAATCTATCATCTATCATATCTATCAATCATCACCTATTATATATTATCTATTCTATCATATATTAGTCTGACCTATATATTTATCCTATCTTATTTATCCATCCTACCATCTCTCATCTGCCAAACATATTTATGTATCATCCACCCATCTATATTATCCTCTTAATTATATTCATCTATCATCTGTCTTTCATCATCTAGCATCTGTCTTATCCATTTATCCACCTATCACCTATATTTTATTCCTTCTTAGAGACCACTATCTAAGGCCGTTTGAGATTAGAGAAGGGCTTGGAAGCCACCCTTCACGGACTGTCAGCTCTACAGGAGTTGGCTCTTGCCAACATTTCATTCTCGTTCCCGGTCAGGTCTTCCTTCGTTCATTACATTCCAGCTATGTCAGTCAGTATTCTATATCTTCCTTCAACAACCCACACCCGTTCCCACCTCAGGGCCTTTGCATTTGCTGCTCTTCAGTCTAGGCAATCCTAGCCTTCACGCATCCTTCCACCCATCCCGCTCTTGCTGGGTTGGCTTTAACACCCAGGATTTAGCTGCAATGTCATCTCCCCAGAGAGATCTTTCTGTCTTTGCTAGTGTTGCGGTCCCGCATCCATCATTCTTACTCCTCGATGGAGTTCTGGTCATTTGTTTACTGTTTATCTGGTGGGCTCCAAGGGGGAAAGGAATCCTCGTCTGCCTGGCGCACAGATGAATTCTCACATTTATCCCCTGCCTGCGTGTTGTGGTCCTCCCCCAAGCCCCTACCTCCCGTTGAGCCTGAGGCTCACTACCTGCCCAGCAGGTTTGTCTCAGGTCACGTGGGGGAGCTTCTCTTACCCCTAAAGCCTTGGGCTCTCCCGTCAAGAAGGTCTCTATTGGTCTAAGGTCAGGCGGCTGGGTGGCCCTGGGCGCCTGCGCCCCCAGCGGCGACTCTTCGAATTGCATGATCCCTGGAGGTTGGCACATGGAGGTGGGCAGAATGGCTGGAGGTGGGCGGAGGCCGCTGGTGTTGCTGGGCGGGATGACGACAAACACGCCATTGCTGGCAGGAGGTGTGGACATCGTGTTCAGAGAGCCCTGGGGGGTGAAGGCTCAGGAGATAACAAGGCAGTGATGGTGGTTACACATTTGATAAATGGCGCAGCTCCCTGCTCCTGCTTACTGAGGCCCGGAGATAGAAGAGCCCCAATTCCCGACTACGGGAAAGAGAAGAGACTCACAGAGGGAATTAGGCTCCTGTGAAAGCCGTGGCTTTTTTTTTTTTTTTTTCTTGAATCTTAGGCTTCTTTGACTCTTGACTCTGATCTTGAGTTCTCCTACATTACGTGGAAGGAACTTTTTATTTTCAATGCTGGGCATGGAATCCAGCCTCTAGGCGAGGCAAGCCCGCTACTGCTGAGCCATATCTCCAGCCCAAGTGGAACCTTTGAGATGTATTTAAACATCCTCCTTTCCCTAGAGAGGGTGAGTGACTGCTCAAGAACACACCGCTGTGGGAAGGGGAGCTTAGCGGAAGTACCGTTTTACTCACGGAGAGAGAAGGACCAGACTGGATGGACCCCTCTCTTCCTTCCTCTAGGCTACATCTGTTGACTGTGGGTACATAATTACCCCGGGGCAACACATCCTGCTCCCCTTGACTACCCAAGGAAAAACCACTATTGTGGCCAAGATAAACACGAGTTGTGGAAACCTGAGGTGTGGCTGGCCTGGGAAAACACTCTAGGGAATGCTGACATCAGGTAGCAGCTTCCCAGGGTGCTGCAGTTACTAATCTAGTGGATGATGTGACATTAAAACAGTCGTCCTCCTTGCTGGCTTTCACACATGGTGAAGAACCCAGCAGTCCAAGTCACAGCTCTGTGACAGAAGACAGGATTTGAACCCTGGTCCATGTAGCTGCTATGAGACAAAGGGCACGATGGTCACTTCCTCCTGCCTCAGTTTCCTGACCAAAAGAGTAGTGGTAAGGGCATTAGACCCTGCTTCATTGTAGGCCTGGTAAAGGTCGTGATTTGCACAGGGAATCATTCCAACGTCTTCACTTGAAGTTTGTTGTTAAACCTTATATATTCAGTGCATGAGTATGTATTTATCCACTCTTTGAGGACTGCGGTTTGTGTTCATGAGGCATTGCCGCATCGCGGACTGCACAGCTTGTGGGGGATCAGGCTGTGCTATGCTCTAAGTTACTTCATATTGTGTAAAAGAGTGACTTTGGGCTCTGCCCTGCCCTGGGTGACTCCGTTTGAAAGGCAGTGTTTGGATGCTCTCATTCAAACAACGGGACAGGATGACTCTGTCTCACTGTCCATGTAGGTAACCACCTCCTGCCCAGTGCCGCCCACGAGGCACAAACAATTTACTCCTGTGGATGAAAAGTACCACCTGGACCCTATAAAGAAGATACCAGCACTGCAGTGATGACGGCCCCATTGACCTGGCATCGGACCACCCAATGTGTGTGTCACGGAACCAACAGACAGATTGTGGGGCTTCAGCTTAGCTCTGTCTCCACTGCTTGATACAGCCTCCTGAAACTACTGCCAGTCTGTCTCTTTGCAGCAGCCCTGCACTTCTCCTGCATGGTCCTGTGTCTCTGCAGCACCCCCCAGTCCTTAATATCTTATTCAACCAATGCAGCGAACTTTTGTGTCTCTAATAGCTTGCTGCCTCTGGTAAGACTTTCTTAAACTGTGCTGTGGCCTCTCTGTCCTTTTGTACACTCTGTAGCCTGTAAATCACACACACACACACACATACACACACACACACACAGTGAGGTGTATAATGTGTGACCTGAGAGTTAACACTAATTCTTAGTATCAGAATAAATCACCTGAGTTTTTCAACAGCTAGCTATGGCAAATTGCAGCAAATGAAACTGACTGTAAATTTATTGTTAGTCAATAAATTCTAGTACTGTGGGAAACACAAATGCGTCTGTGCTTCTAGAGCAGCAGGCCCTTGACACAGCCCATTCCCCGGGGGTCTGTGGGGGACTTCAGTGGATGTGCATCTTTATCCTGGCGGATGGGACTTGCCACATGTGTGTCCTCTGGGCCATTTGCTCCATGATGGGCCTGGTCCACACTGGTGACTATAAAGTGTGGTGTCCTGCTGGGACTGCCTTCGAGAGGCATAGCTGAGTCCCCACAAAGAGGGAAGCAGGTCCAGTGGCTGGAGTACCTCCAAGGGAACGGCAGAGGAAGCACAGGGTAACATCTGCTGGCATGAGCATTTTCTGTCCACTGTAGGCGATTAATAAAATGTTTCATGGGTTGGGGAGACAGCTCAGTTGGTAAATGCTTGCTACACACACATGAGGACCTACTGGAGTCTGAATCCCAGAAACCCATATAAAAAGCTGAGTGTGGGGGCACACACTTGTAATCCCAATGCTGGGGAGACAGAATCATTTGGATCCTTGGGGTTCTCTGGCCTGCTAGCCCAGCCTACTTGGTGATCTCCAGACCAATGAGAGACTCTTTCTCAGAAAACAAGGTAGTTGTCTATTCTACCTTCAAGGTGGAGTGACACCCAGAGTGAACCTCTGGCCTCCACACACATGCACATGCATGAACTTACATACATGCACACACATGCATGCACACAGATGCACATGCATGAGCATGCACATACATGTGCACACAGACATACAGATATGTATGTCTGTATGCACACACATGCAAAAAAAGAACATGTTTCAAGTAAATAGTGTTATTAAACAACAATCCCACACAAAGAGTGGCAGAAGTCACTTGACATCTTCAAGGACTTCAAGGAATTCTTCCAGCAAAAGCTGGGTGGCCAACATGTGATATCAGGAGCAAGTGTCTAGGAATAGTGCTATTACTTCCCACATGATGGAACTCAGTTGGGGCTCCAGTTTCCAGACCCGCACACTGAAATGATGCATAGCAGACACAAACACTGCATAGGACAGCACCAGCAAACATTCCCTGCAGACACTCAGCTAGTAAGATTTTGGGCTTTGGTTAAGTAGTTTCTGTTCCAAGTAGGAGATGCCTCTGCTGTAGTGTGAACCAGACACAGGCAATGAATGCATAAATAGGTGGGGCTGTGTTTCAATAAAGCTTTATTGATATGAACAGATGGGCTGGATTCAATTGGTGGGCTGGAGTTTTCCAACTTCCGTGTCAGAACACTGCCTGGACCATAGTAAATGATCACTGGAATTTACTTGATGCTTTAAATGACAGTAAAGATGGCTGTGGTGACTGTCGCTAGAGTTTGGGTTTTGAATGTCCCTGAAAGGCCTGCAGGTTAGACAAAGACTTGGTCCCCAGGATAATATGACTGGCAGGTGACAGAACCTTGTATTACTTAAATTTCTTATTTCTGTGACTAAATACTGAAAAGTAAACATGTTAAAGCAAGTGGGTTTATTTAGGCTTAGAGTTCAAGGGAACACTGTCTGTTGTGTTGGGGAAGGCATGGTGGCAGGAGGGTGAGGTGTCTGGTTGCAGTACTCCTGTAGTGAGGAAGTATCAAGTGGGCAGGAAGCAGGGCCAGGCTGCTGACCTCAAGCCCTCGCCCCAACAAGCCACTTCCTCCAGAGAGATTCTGTCTCTTAAAGATCCCACAACTTTTCAGAACCAGCTTGAGACCAAAAGGTCAGGCACATGAGCTACAGTGAACATGCAAGGGACAGAGGCTGGTGGAGGGTCCTTTGGTCCCGGGGGTCGGGGCATGTCCTTGAAGGGGGTTTGGGATCTTGACTTCTTCTTGGCTTACTAGTCACATACTCTGGCTATCATGCCCTATCTCCCCACAGGCTCAAAACACAGGGGCAGCTAAACATGGACTGAGCCAGAAACAAACCTGTTCTCTTTATATGCAGATCACCCCAGGCATTTGTTATAGCTAGCACATCTGCTCACCTCATCTCAGAGGTTGACAGAGAGGACCAGAAGTCAAAATGGACCAGAATATTCTTAGAAACTGGCAAAGGGCTGTGGTATGCTTGTTTCAAAGCAGTGTTGTGATCCATTCTAGATAGTTCTTGACGTTTGAAACTCTCTGAACTATTCACAAGGCCCCAGCTCCACCCTGCCCCAGGTTATGGGAGTAACAGCATGTGCTAACCATTTCTTGAGGACACGAGGACTGTCTCTGGATGCTTCTGATACTTTGCTTCTCACTTCCTCAGCGACCTGATAATTTCCACAGTGTTTCATCTTGGTGTGATGACTGAGGCTTCCCACAGAGAAGGGGCATGCTTAAGGTAACGCCGCTAGTGAACTTGAGGGCAAGGATTCAAGTCCAAGTCTGTCTGTGTCCCAGCCTGCAGCTGTCCCTCACTGCTGCCTCCAGGGGCAGTCTCTGTCATTTGTCCAATTGTTCTAGTTATTATATTCTGGGTGCCTTGAAGTTTGATGTAGTCATGTGACTTGTTTTGGTTAAAACCAAATTCATAACTTCTGAGCTAGGGAAAGGTCCAGGGCACTGTGGAGGGTCTTTCCTCATTGTCATAGTAACTAGCCATCTTGCAGACAGAGTCCACTTTATCTGCCTGGGTTCCCAAGTGAGTAATGTCTTCAGGGCTATGAAGCAGGAGGAAGAGACCACTCTCTGCTGTCTTATGACACTAAGATGGGGGTGGGGGATAGCAAGCTATGACATAAAAAACGCTGGGCATGGTGGAGTCCTTAGAATCCCAGTTCTGGGGAGACAGAGCCATGCAGATGCCTAGGGCTTGATGGCTGACCTGTCTGGACAAATTGGCTAGGTGTAGGCTAGCAAGAGACCCTGTCTGAAAAAACTAGGTGGATGGTACCTGAGGAATGATATCTGAGGTTGTCCTCTGGCCTCTACATGTGTGTGTGCGCACTTGTACATGTACTCTCACACATGGGCATTGCATATATACATACACATGCATACATACATAAACACTAAACTATGTGTCCCTGAAGCATAATCTAGCTTCTCCTGACCATTAATCCTCCAGAAACACAAAAACACACACACACACACACACACACACACACACACACACACACACACATTCACTTATATATGAGAGCCATCCAACATCCTTCGGTATTCACAGGTGATCAAATTAAAACCAGAGGGGGCTGAGTGAGCCTGCCACGGCAGCACTTCCCTAAGCAAGGACATTTAAAAAGTACTAAGGACAGTTTAACACCTGAGTCAGAAAAGGTAGAATTTTAGGCTAAAAGGACATACTTGCTTTCATAGTTATCATTTCACTGGGGACAGGTGAGGATCATGTCTGAGGGCCATGATGAGTCAGTAATATGTGTAACGGGGACATTTTCTGGGGTCAGAAGAACTCTCAGCTCCCACAGGGCTCAAACCACCCAGCAGGGAGCACTTGCGTCATTAACAGCATCTCTCCCAGGTGGGTGGTGAGAAATGCGATCAAACACCGAGCCCTGTGATCCTCAGGGGAAGAGAAACACCAACAGAAATAGGCTTCGCACCCTCGGCAGGGTAAAGTGGCAAACCCAAGCAGGAATACATGACACAGGTCCCGAGATTCACACGTTCCCCTCCCCGCCAGTGACTAATCCATCTGTGGTATTCCAAGTGACTCTATCTCAGTGCTCCCCTCTTTCTTACTAACAGTCAGCCAGCATATCCCGCCACTCATATATGCATAGGAAGGAAAGCCACTCCACCCTGCCTTAAGGGAACAGCTGCCTGGAAACTCAGGACATCCAGGACAACCGTGCTGATTATCAACTGTTGAATGAGATGTAGTAATAACAGCCCTTCATGCAAAGCCCTTAATGGTTTAGAAAGAGCTCTCCTACAGTCTTTAGGGCAGCCCTGGGACAGAGATATTATGCAGGCCATTTTGCAGAAGTAAGTAGGGCAAGTCATGGACCTTGAAGGCTGATGTGTTGGTCACAGAGAACAGACTCTGAAGTGAGTGATGTCACCAAGGGTGTCAGGGGACTTGCCAAAGGCAGGTGGCTGAGAAGCTGTGGGCTGGTTTTTATATCCTCCTTCCAGGGCTGGAAGTAGATTTGACACTGCACAGGAAGGGGGTGGGGGACATGTCTTTGGTTGTCTTTTACCATGGCAGAGAGGCTTCCTTGAGGAACCCGCTGGGAGAAAGCCCCATGCAGTTTCTTTTCACTGGACCGTGGATTCTGAGGTTGGGCAAGAGCTCTTTTGCAGAGAGATACCCAGGAGAGAGATCCTTGCAATGGGGTGAGTCTCTGTAGACACACCCTTTTAGAGAAGCGCCTCTCTCAAGGAGGGTGACACCAACTCACAAAGCACCCAGCATGGTCCCTGTCCTCTTTGTCCTACTGTGTGTACAGGGTGTGGGTGTGGGGGTGGAGGGTGGGGAGAAGGGGAGAGAGCAAGAAAAGATGAGAGCCATCCAACACCCCTCTTACCTGCTGTCCCTGGGCAGAGGAGCAGCCCCAGGTCCCGATATGACACGACACAAGACCAGTCAGACTAATTGCTAACTACTAAATTGCTGCTATTTAGCTCGGGGGTGACTGAAAAAAAGCCACAGGACGGCCAAAGTGTCACCCTGCTATAATCGCTGTGAATCTTTAAAAAATAATGTAAGCAGTTTTACTTAGAAGACACCTATTTGCATCATAGAAATCAACATTTGATTCACATCTTATAGCAAAGAACCAATATCCAAATTCAAAAGAGCTAGCACTCACAGAGCACACTGCCTTAGGCTTGATTGAAACCGTAAAACAAAACAGAGCCATCGACACTCCAGAAGAGAATAATGACCACCTAGCAATGTCTGGCCCCAGTGGCTGGTATGGAGGAGGCTTTCACTCCTCCTGGGCTTCAGCTGTTAATAGCCTCAGTGGCAGGGGGACCTGTAGTGGTGGGCTGCCCCAGCACGCTAGCTGGAACACTCTTGGGCAGCCAGCACTTATCTTGGGAGTGTCCCTAGACAGCCTCTTCTTCCACCCAGGTCCCAAAGCAGCTTTGCTTATTTCCCAGTTGAAGCTGCTTTTTGGGGGAGGTGTTGGCAGCTGGAAGGGAGTGACTCTAAGGGGTGGGGGTCCTGGGATGAAATGTATGCTAACACAGCTTTGCTTTGTAGTTAAGTCACAGATCCTGCGCTCAGGCTGGTTAGAACGCATGTTATTATCTGGTGAGAGGAAGTAGCTGAGTGAATTTGGGCAAATGGCTTGATCTCTCTGGGCCTCAGTTTCCCCGCATATCACAGAAGTGATATGTATAGTAGTGGGGGTGAGGTGTTTCAGGCTTCTAAGATTTCTACATATACATCCTGGGTCTGCAGCCATTTCTCAGACCAGGAAAGAACTTGCCTGGCTCTGTGGCACCAGGCATCTTGTCTCCAATCTCAGCTTTTCCAGGACAGCCCACGCCTGCCCCATAGTCCCAGAAGTGATGCCACCAGATGCAGACATGCCATGGGGAAGCAGCTCTCTCTGTCATTTTCTCCCACCCCATGGCCTTCTGCTGTGCTTCGGTGCTCCTGCCACTGCAACTGGGCATCAGGGACAGCCTCTTCTTTCCCCTGACTAATGTAATGCTTCCCATCTGCAAATGACATAGTATTTGCCCAGAAGAGTTTTCTAGCAGTGACCCTTGTCAGGTCCTTCTCCCCTCAGAGAAGGGACAGGCAGGACACCTGTGCATGGTTTGGAATCACCTGTCTAGGTTAAACTTCTAACGAGTTGGCTTCTGGAGAAAGGGAGTTTCTCCAGAATCACCTTCTTGGGAGGGTGATTGTCTCCCTGAGGTCCCCGGCCCTGGGTTTGAGGAGAGAAGACAGATACCCCCCTTTGTCCCCCTTCACTGTGCAGTGGGTCTCTCATTGCCCTGAGCTGGAATGGGTGACCCTAAGATCTTCCTTCCCAATCTTAGTGCCAGGTGGGTTCCCGTCAATGACCTCTTTCTCTCTCCCTTTCTGGGGGACCCCACAAACCCCCACCTCTTCTCTTATTATGTTCCCTGGGTGGTCTTTCTAGAAGGACAATGGGGGTACTCACCGGCTTGCCACGGCTGCTGCGCGGGCTGCTGGCTTCCCTCTGCCTCTGCGCTCCCACATTCACACATTATCCTGTGAAAACCTTGCTATTCATGTGGGGCTTGGAAATCACTGCTTGGGAGCTGCGCCTCTGGTAGGTTCTCTGTCCTTCCCAGCTCAGAGGCTTCTGCCTGTCTCCCAGAGGTGGGGGCCAGAGGCAGCCGCTTGTGTGGCCACTGGCCTCCAAAAGGCCCGAGAGTATCCCATTCTCTTGCTTCAGTCTCTGGAAGGGAACATCAAGACCCAAGAGGAAAGTGGATCACTTGGCACCCACTACTAGTGTCAGAGCTGGGATGGGGACCCATAAGACTTTCACCCCACTGAGATGCCCTGAAAGGACTGAGCAGGCTGCCTGTGTTCTGTCTATCCAGGTTTGACCACAGTTAGACAAGGGGCCCAGGAGACTCACAGCTTTCCGATGACAGGTGGCAGAGGGTCTAAGCATGAACATTCATGTGAACATGTGTTAGTATGTGTGTATGTTTGTATACACAGTGTCCTTCAAGTACTTGGCCCGTGAGTTTCTGGGTTCAGGATCTCACAGAACATCTTGTGAGGCAATTGAGAAAGCCACATGATTGGGTAGGACCTATAGGCTCAAGTCATCCTGGGGACAGGCCTGGGCCAGCTCTCAGATAAACCTGGGAAAGATCAGTGTGGCAGGTTGAATGTAAAAATGGCCTTAGTCCTCAGGCCAATGTGTGTCTACACCTGCAGAGAGGGTTGAAGTTGCTCTCCCAAGTCCTCAAAACTGGGCTGCCCTGTGACTTCCTATGCCAACAGGAAGTGGGAGTGATCAGTCCCAACCTGAAACTGGGAGCTCTGCACCTAGCCCTGGACATTCCTAGCTTCCCTGCTGGAGGATGATGCACATGACATCACCCATTGTCCCCGGTGAGGCCCCACACATGCAGCCATGGTTGGCAAGGCTGTGGAGCTGGCCTTCCACTGAACACAAGTGCATGAGATAGTTCTACCAAGTCCAGGTCAGACCAGACCTGGCCAGGCAACAGTAGACTGGGAACAAAAATGAATGTTCTCTGTGATGTAGCAGAGCATCTGCCTCTTTGTTATAGGCATAGGTTTGAATCTAGAGGGCACGTGATAAGATTTCTAGACTTAGATCCCTGAGTGAGGAGTTAGACCAGGGATACATGGATATCGATAGACAGGGACAGTTATTAGTAAGAGAAAGGTTCTTCTGAGAATGGATGTTGGATAGACACCTGGGACAGCTCAGAGGCTCAAAAGTGTCAATCAGTTTAACATCAGGGCCCTTTATAGGTCATTTGCATAGAACTACCTTTACCCACATTTGTCATGGGTATATGGTGCTACTCTGTTCCTTACCTGTAGCCTGGGTAGGGAGGTTCCCAGTCTCTGCCCACTGGCTTCTTATGTTAATCTTGATGCCTCTTTCCCCATGTCCAAATCTCCTGGGATAATCTTTGGGGTAGCCTGATCATCTAATACCAGCAACCATAGGCACTGTCTGGGGCTTAGGAAATAGACACTCCAGAGCATAGCTTGTTGGCATGCTAATCTCTGAGCTAAGGAAGAACCAAGGTCTCTGACCTTCAGCCCTCCTGTGTCTCTCACCCTCTTTGTTGTGGAATATTATTTTAAGATGTGTTACATTTCTTTATGCTGTGGAACATTTGTTTAATGATGCAAAGATGTGTTGCATTCTTTTATGTTGCACCTGTTTAACTCTGTGAACCTGTGTTACTGTGCCTGTCTAAAACACCTGAGTGGTCTAATAAAGAGCTGAAGGGCCAATAGTGAGGCTGGAAAAAGGATAGGCAGGGCTGGCAGGCAGAGAGGATAAATAGAAATCTGTGAGGAAAAGAAGAGAAAGCAAGAGAACAAGGAGAGGAGGATGCTAGGGGCCAGCCACCCAGTCACACAGCCAGACATGGAAGAAGAAGGAAAGAAAAGAAATACAGAAAGAGAGAAAGGTAAAAGCCCAGAGGCAAAAGGTAGCCAGGATAATTTAAGAAAAGCTGGCTAGAAACAAGCCAAACTAAGACTGGGCATTTATAATTAAGAATAAGCCTCCATGTGTGATTCATTTGGAAACTGGGTGGCGGGCTCCCCTCAAGGAGTAAAAAAACACCTGTATCATTGCAATGAGTTGTGCCCCCATCTCATGGCGGGGAGGTTAATGTCATAGGACACTCACTGAAGGTCAACACCACAGGCTGTCACAAGCCATTGCCTACAACTTTTATTACCCAAGAGAAACTTTATCTGTGTTCCTGCATGGAGACCCTTGTCCAGCCTGCATCCCTCCTCCGCTCTCCTCAGCCCTTTGCTGCCCCTTCCCTCCAAGCCTCAGCTGCTTATTTCTTGCCATCTAGCTCTTCTTCCCGGGAATTTGTGAGGTTCTATGACAGGCACCTAATAAATCTGATCTATTTTCACTTGTTAATCTGCTGACTTGAAAGATTCTGGAAACTTCAGAGGCGAGAGAAGAGAGAGATTTCCCTTTCCCCTATGGGACACCGAAATTTCAGAACAGGAACAGAGTCAGGCATGGTGGCGCATCCCTGTCACCCTAGTACTTAGGAGATGGAGGCAGGAAGATCAGGAATTCAAGGTCATCCTCAGCTGCAAGGGATTTGAGGCCAGCCTGGGAAACAGCCAGGGAACAAGCCAGGAAACAGAATTCCTACGTGGTTCCTGCCTCCAGAGTCCTGCCCTGATTTCCTTCTATGATGAACCAGGAGCCGTAAACTAAAATAAAACCATTCCTCCCCCAAGTTGCTTTTGGCCATGGTGTTTCTCATAGCAACAGGACAAAACAGAGCCTCTTCCCTCTGAGTCCCAGTTTCCTCTTGTGAGAGATGGGCTGAGGATGTCTCTCTAATTATTGTTGGACATTCAGTCTCTGTGGACAGTGCAGTAGAGGCACACTGTTCACATGTTGGCTGCCCACTGCCCTTTATGTCCTAGTACTGTGATTCCTGTACTAGAATGCATTTGAGTGGACTTAAGAACCCCATTTGTAAAGACTATGGCACTCTCAGGGCCCTCTGGTGACTGTCATGTGATGTGTCACAGGAGTTGACTGTGGGGAGCTTCAGGCTAGTGGCTACTGCAAAATGGAAGTTTTTGAATCTTCTTATTTTTTTGCTCTTATCACCCTTCCTTATTGCAGGTGGAAAGGAGATGCTCGAGGGCTGAAGGGACAGTTGGCAAAGCGCTTGCTTTACACATACAGAGACTCGAGTTTGGTCCCCAGAGTCCATGTTAAAAATAAAGTCCAGCATGATGGCGTGTGATGTTGTCCTAGACCTGGGGAGATGTAACAGGCAGATTAGACTTGCTAGCCTAGTCTACTTGGTGAGTTCCAGGCCAGTAAAAAGCTTCTGTCTCAAGGAGGAGGGGGAGGAAGAGAAGAAGGAAGAGAAGGAGAGTACCTGAGAAAAAACATCTAAAATTGTCCTCTACATGCATACACATACATGTACAAGCACACTCATACACATCTTTGCACCAATATGTGCCTGTGTATACATCAAACACATACACACACACACATGAAATAAAAAGAAATGCTTAAACATAGGCACTTCATGAAGCGGTGCCAGGAGCCGGGGTCACACTAGCGAAAGAAAGGCTCTTTGGTCTTTGTAGATTCTTCAGCTGGAAACAGCCTTGGGGATCTGAAAGGAGCCATGGTCATGCTGTTGAATGGCACCAGGACCATGTCCATGTTGTCCATTGTAAGGATTCTGGGAAAAGACAGAAGGACAGAAGAGGGGCCTGGAGAGCAGTGAGGGACTACTATGGTCTGAAAGGCCCTGATTTAGAGCCGCTTTGTATACGTAATACAGGGTTTTAAATTGGCATCTCTCCCATTGCTTAACCCAGACAGCCTTTTCTTAGGCTTGGGTGGCTTGCTTGTCACAGTTCCAGCAGGCAGTCTGGTGTCCATTTGCTGTCTCCCACACACCCAGGAGTGCTGGGGACACACACCAGGGTTGGGCCGTGTATGCTTTCTGCGCTGCTCCCATGTCCCTCGGGTGGGGGAAGTCACCTTTCAGGATTAGAGTTGGTGGGGGGACAACTAGAGGCAGAACTGACAGTTGGCCTGTCCACTACTTTCGAGTTGACTTCTCAATAGTAAGCATACACGTGGAACAACAGAATGGAAACAACGCACCCTCGGATGCAGTTTGTTCAGGTTAAAAGACACCTAGAGTCAAAGGGAAACATTTATGAATTGAAAAAGCACATTAATAACAAACCAAAGAGAAGCTTAAGAGTGAAGAGGAGGGGAAAATGGGTGTTCATCTTGGCCTAGTGGTTATGCCAGGGTCAAGGTCTCAGTTGTTTCATGTGGAAGCAAAGCTACCGTTGCAGAATTACTTCCATGTCATTGAAATGGGTATTCTGTCAACTATTCCTGGTCAAGATCATCTCTATCTTTCTGTGAGTGTCCAGGGGGAGCATTACTGGGGACTGGGATGTTGGTGTCACTGTCTGGGCTGGTGCTGTTGACAGGTCCATTGGTCGTATGGGCAGGTCCATCGGTCGTATAGACAGGTCCACCGGTCATATAGACAGGTCTATTGGTCATGTTGACAGGACTACCAGTCGTATAGACAGGTCCATTGGTCGTCGTATAGACAGGTCTATCAGTCGTATTGACAGGTCCATTGGTCATGTTGAAAGGTCCATTGGACGTGTTGACTGTGCTGCTACTGAACATGGTTGAGACCATGGTCATGTTCTGAAAGACAAAGGACAGGAAGGCATCAGTGTCCTCTGTAGTGAACTTCAAGAAAGGTAGTAACTTCTTTCCCTTCCCCTTTCCATGCCTGGGGTAGACTCTCTCTCGTTGATGCTGGGCTTAGTCACATGACTTTCTTTGGCTAAGGAGATAATAGTAATGGGGGTATAAGCAGAGGCCTGTGACATATTTGCCTACTGTAGCTTGATCTTTCTTGCTGCTCGTTGGAACAGAAAGCAGGCAGGACTGACCTGACGAATAATGAGATAAGTGACCCAGTTTTTTTTTTTTCCTATTCACAACCAGCTTGCTAACTGCCAGACACATGTGTGTGTCTATGCAAGATCACCCAACCAGTGGGTATCTCAGCAATCAACTGTCAACTCGGCAATCCCAGCAGATTAGAACTGCCTACTGCGAGGCCCAGAAGCTCATGAGCTAAGTGCCTGTTGTATGAGCTATTACATCTTAGGACTGGATTTCTGAAGTTACCAATGGATAAATGATATTTAAAGTAAGATTTAAGCCTAGCAACAAGTGACAAGTTAGGATTAGACCCACACAGAAAGGACTGTGTCTATACAACCCTGTGCTAAGTAAGACTGTGTATCTATTTATGTGTGTGTGTGCACAAGTGCATGGGTGTACATGTGACTGTGTGTACACGTGTGTGGAGGCCAGAGATTGACACTGTGTGTCTTCCTCAGCTGCTCTCCACTTTATTTTTGAGGCAGAGTCTCTCACTGAATCACTGGAGCTCAATGATTGTCTAGATTAGCTGGCCAATGAGCTCCATCTGCCTGTCTTTGTTCCACCTCCCATGACCGCCAGTGCTGGGGTTACAGACATATGCTGCAGAACCTGCCTCTTGATATGAGTGCTGGGGGATCTGAACTTGGGTCCTCATGCTTGGACAGCCAGCACTTTACTGACTGAACGAACCATGTCTCCAGCCTTTAGTGAGGCCCCTTGCCTACACTGAAAAGCTTCTAAAAATCTTATGGGCTTGGTCCCGGAGAGACCTGATCTCAAAATGGGTGTTGGTAGATTTAGAGAGAACACAACCAAAGATGAGGCTTTTGTCAAGTTGCAAAAGCCATAATCTGGTACACAAAGCATCCCCAGAGATTTTGAGGGACTTGCACTAGCAAAAAGCCCACTAAATAGGAACTGATGTTACTCAAAATACAAATACGATAAGGTAATTGCCCATCTCTCCAAAGATAGAAAGGTGGACTCTTTCTTATGAGAAAGGGAAAGTGTTGTTGACAGTAGCCAAGAGACTAGAGGTCAAGACCCCGGGGAACAGTGGGTTAGGGAGACGCATCCAGGAAGCAGAACAAAGTAATGGCGGGTCCTTCCTCAAAGCCGAACTGATTCCTAACCAAGGAACGTTCTCTGCCCCCATGGGGGTCATATTACTTCTCAGGATTAAATAAAAAAATTACTTTATTTGGTGTGTATGGGTGTTTTGCCTGCACTCATGACTGTACACTATGTGCATGCCTGGTGCCTGCAGAGTGCAGAAGGGAGCATCAGATCTCTTGGGATTGGAGTTACAGGCAGTTGTGAGCTGCCATGTGGGTGCTGGGAATTGAACCTGGGTCCTCTAGTCAGTGCTTTTAACCACTGAGCCATATCTCTAGACTGCTCCATAGGATTTTAGAATTTTATGGAGCAGTGACCATCCTGAGCCTCTCATAAGGTCTTTCTCTATTGAATGGGAGAGAGTATTTGACTTGTCTGGTTCTTGTCTCACTAGACTCTGTTGGGTATGTTAACAGAACTTGTTTTTATTATTATTGTTATTTTTTTTGAGACAAGAGTCTCATGTAGTCCAGATTGACCTCAAACTTGCTAAGTAGCCAAGGATGACATTGAATTTCTGATTTTCCTGCCTCTACCTCCCAAGTTCTGGGATTACAGGTATGTACTACCATGCCTAGTTCATGCAATACAGGAGATCAAATCCAGGGCTTCTTGTATGCCAACCAAACTCTCAGCCTACATTCTCGGCCCCCAAATATTTTTAGTTTCTAGGTTGCTGTGTCAAGAAGATCCATATTCTATTCCAAAACTGGACTATGGACTTCAAGCATGGTGATGGAACTGGATGGGATGCTTGGGACTCCTGGGATGGGGATAAACGTGGTTTGTTTTTTTTTTGTTGTTGTTTTTTTAGAAGATTGAATCCATCTGGGATCAATTGAAGAGCAAGTCATGTATCACCATACAAGTAGACGATACTCAGAACCAAGAACCAAATAAATCAGTGGTTCTCAACCTAATGCTTGGGCCCTTTAATACAGTTCCTCGTGTTGTGGTGACCTCCAACCATAAAATTATTTTGTTGCTACTTCATAACTGTAATTTTGCTACTGTTATGAATTGCAATATAAATATTTAATATGTGACCCCCAAAGGGGCCATGACCCACAGGTTGAGAACTGCTGAAGTAAATGCTTGCTGTTTGAAGGTATTTGGTTTTGAGGTAGTTTGCTATTCACCAACACTTATCTGATACACCCCATTCACTCCTCACTTTTCTCAAACTCTAGTCACCTCTTGCTAAACCTCTCCAGAGTAGGCTCTGATTCCTGGAATAAAGTCCAAAACTCACCTCAAAATGGGGCCAGCAGGCAGCCTGGCACCCAAAATGTGAGATCATACAGGTGATGATGAATTCCAGGAGGGCAAAGGGGAGGAGGCCCCCAGAGATTGCCTTCAGACAATCCTAGGGGCAGAGAGGAAATGGAGGCATTTCAGTCTTTAGGGTTGACTGGATGACAGTCTACATTTGTAGCTCTCCTAAAGTCAACGCCATATGCCTCATCTGGAACGCTGAAGGTCCCCTCTGTGTGTGGTGTTTTGGTGTAGATGCTACCTTTATGCATCTTTGCCACATCCATTCAGTGTACCTCAACTTCCACCTGTCAGCCACTGCATTTCTTTCTTGTGAACTTTCACGGCCTCAGGAGCCCACTTTACTGTTTATACCACAAGCCTGAAGCTCAAACAATCCTCTGGAGAGAAGTCTTCCATTGATGACTAGTAAGGGTTGGTGTGTAAGTACCCTAGATTCTTTGCCCTGAGTTCATGTTTACTTCTTCTCTCTACAAAACTACTTGTTTTAAAGTTTACTTCTGAGATGACCCCTAACTGTGATGTACCCTAACAAGTACCCTGACTGTGAACCTATATGAGGGGCTGGGGTCCTTACTGTGAGTTGGTGATGTACCAGTGGTGATATATCGTCAGATCTGCTTGGCTTTGGCTGTCTTAGCTTGATCTCTGTGGTCTTGCCTGAATGAGAGCTTTGAGAGCAGGACTGACCTCAGTGTGCTTCCTGCTGTGGCCTTACCATAGTGCATTGTGGAGGCAGAGTTCTAGGAGTACTTCTCCCCACTCTTCTCCTTCAGCAGAAGATGGGACCCCAGGATTTGGCTTCAGGCCTATTGGAATCTTAAATTTCTATTCTACTTCTTTGTCAGTTCATCCTGTTGCCTAGGGCTGGACTCAGATGCCAACAACCTTGCCTAGTTTCCTGCCATGTCCTGTCAAGGCCAACTTCTGTCAGTTAGATTAGGCTTCTTCTGGGGCCTACAGGGAAGCTCTCCTTGAGGACTGTCCTCATCCCTGTAGATAGGTCTCTTGCTCTGCCAGGTTTCCTTGGTCTGCTTGATTAGTCCTGAAAGAGGACCAGGTTGCAGCTTGAGACAAACAACCATATCTCCACCCCCAGACATTTGCCTCTTAATCTCAGACTCATCACTTGGTGTGAGGAACATTGTGATTGTCTTAGCAATTGCAGGATTTTGGAGGAAGTTATATAATTTATGGATCGTACTAGGATGGAATTCTGTTGCAATTCCTTCCTGCTCGAGGAACAACTGTGTAAGCTCTCTTAATCCTGAAGGACTGTTGAGACCCATCAGTTGTAATGCTCACCGTCAGTGAATTAACACCAGAGTTGGAAACACACAGATCTACAATGATAATAATGATGCCCAAAAGGGAGAAGATGGAACTGATGACATTCATGCCGATGTTGGTGCTCACCTGAAGGACACAAAGGGAGGGGAATGTCACAGCTCAGCATTTGGGATGGCTCAGGACATAGGACAAGAGGAGCAGGGCAGAAAGGAGAGGGCCAGGCTGGTTGGAGCAGAAGCCTGTTAGTTTACCCTGGGGTCGTGAGATAATGATTGCTCATGCCATGTCTCTTTAGGGCAGGAACCACCCATTGGGAGAATATCAACACCTGGCTAAGCAGCTGAGGGAGGCAATGAGATTTGGAAGGCTGTTTGGAGGCAAGGTGAGGTTGCTGGCCTGCTCTGCAGAAAAAGCAGGGACACCAAGCTTGCCCTGAGAAGATAAGGTGTGGTTGATATATTGGGCAGTTGTGCACCCCAATAAATTTATCTGGGGGTCAGAGAACAAAGCAGCCACAATATTAAACATAGAGGTTAGGCAGTGGTAGCAAATGTCTTTAGTCTTTAATCCTAGCATTCCAGAGGCAGAGATCCATCTGGATCTCTGTGAGTTCAAGGCCACATTGTAAACATCCAGGCATGATGACACACACCTTTAATCCCAGGAAGTGATGGCAGGAAGCAGAAAAGTATATAAGGCATGAAGACTAGGAACTAGGGGCGTTTAGGCTTTTAAAGCTTTTAGACTTTTGAGCAGCAGTTTAGCTGAGATCCATTTGAATGAGGACTCAGAGACATTCAGTCTGAGGAAACAGGGTCAGCTGAGAAGTTGGCAAGGTAAGGTTGGATGTGACTTGTTCTTTTTCTCTGATCTTTCAGCATTCACCCCAATACCTGGCTCTGGGTTTGTTTTTATTAATAAGACCATTTAAGATTTGTGTTACAGTAAGGACGCTGAGGGTAAGCCTGGGGCTGGAGCCTGGGTTGGCAAGTTTGGCTGGGGAAGATTTTCAGGTGTGAGGGCTCAGCTTCTCCATGTTGAGATGTCAACAAGCTTTAATTGTTTACTGCCTGTCTCTACTCAGTCTGCTTCCTTTAGTGGGGTTCTGGGGAAGAAAATAAAGAAGAATCAACATGTCATATCTGGGCTGAGTCTGGGGCAGCTGTCAGGCAAAGAAAGTGAAGCAGATACAGCGCAAGATCCAGGAAAGGCGCAAAGCTACACAGAGAAACCCTGTCTCGAAAAAAAAAAAAAAAAAAAAAAAAAGAAAGTGAAGCAGAGATTTCAATTAGAAGCCAGACATCCGAGCAAGATGGAGAGGCCCAGGAATCCACACCTATTGCTTGGCAAGGGCAATGGGTTCCCCAGAGGATGTAGGTGGTGTTTGACCAGGCTTGTTGGGACATTGAAGGACTGTTAGAATTCTGCCCTTACTACAGTTGCATGACCGCACATGCGCAGTTCAGGAGTTAAGCAAAGGGTCTTGTGTCTTATGTCATCAGTGTGCACTGGTGACTACGTGTGTGCGGTGTGGTCACACAATCAGTGCATGCGTGGTGTAGCTCCGTAAGCCCGCCTGTGCATGTTCACCAGGAATCCTTAAAAAGCCAGATGCAGACCCCACCCCCTCTCTCTCTCCCCACCATCTTCCCTCTCTCTGCACATGATTTCCTCCCCAGGCCTGGTTCTCCTCTCCCCCTCCCCCCATTCCTCCTAAATAAAGCTCTGAATACTGATACTGGGTTCTGTCGTGACCATGACCTTTCCACGAGGTAGCCAGTGCCATAACCAGTGCTGTTTACTGTTCATTTTATTGGTGCCGAAGACTCGAATAGACCATTCCAACCTCTTTGCATCTGGGGCTGAGCGTTGGAAACCTATACAGAGGTTCACTGGACCTGCGACCTCCCACTCCGCTTTTTTCATTTGGCCAGCTGCTGGACTGCTCTGCACACACCACATATGCCGCCAAGATTGGTGAGTCCCCCACCACTTCCCACAACTGTAGCCTGAGCTATATTCTTGCACCGGACCTCTAGGGGGTCCTCGGCTGTGTACCATGACACATTCAATCTTGATGAAGTTTTGGATGCTGTCTGGGCCCCTGGGGGGTCCTCTGCTACATATGCCCCAGCCCTTGCCCTTTTCATGATGATGATTGGGTAATTTATGCTGTTAATGCCAGTCCACAGACTACCTATTCTCAAGGACGCTTGAAATAGGAGCCTAGGGATCCTGTTTGTTATTTTAATTTTTAATTTTTTCTCTCTGCAGCCATGGGACGTGGGGGCTTCCTTCTCATGGTTCCATTCCTCCTCTGACAAATGCCTTAAATATCCCCAGATACCAGTAAATTTGGCTGTGTAACAGCAGCTTCAACCCTGATATTTCACAGGAATTATCTAACTTCTGCCAGTGAATGGGCAAATGAAAAGAATTACCTTATCCCCAAGCTTTCTACCTAAGCCCTGAACCCTTCTCCTCTCCATTTCTGATTCTTTCTCTGCCATGTGCAACCAATTCTGCCTATCTGACTTCCACTCTGCTCTCTGTTATTGGGCAGGCTCTCTGGTATTGGGCGGGATCTCCAGTATTGGGTGGGTCGCTTCTGCCCAACCCTGGCTTTCACCTTAACTCCTCCCACTCATTCTCAAGCTGCCCTGAGAAGTACAGATGGGTCTGAAAGCACGCTAGGATGCTTGCAAATAAGTTTATGATCAGGACCCACATGGGGATCACAGTAATCAGGATGGCTCTTTAGTCAGAGATCAGTTTATAACCTGCCTCCTGGTGGGTCTTCCTAAAGCTATCCTCAAGCCAATAGATTATCAAAAAAATTTTTTTCAAGACATGGAATAAAATCTGTCTCATCTTCCAGACCTCCCTGATATAAGGGCTAAACCTTAAGCACCTAGAGAGCAAGGCTCCTGACCCCACAGGCCAAAGTTTCAGCTGTGGCATTTAAGGTATACCAGGGGAGAGATGGAAAAGCCCAAGAACAGAATTGCCAAGTGCTGACACATGCTGTCCAACTGGCTCATGTAAGCCGCTGGATTCTTGTTTTAAGTGTGGGGGAATAAAAAGGCCATGTGGGCTAGTGCATACCCTGTCAGGCCTTCAATTGAGCCTTGTTCAAAGTGCCACCTAGAGAGACAACTGGTCAGCTGACTGCACCCAGGCACCGAGGGGCTTGGGAGCATCAAACTAAGTCCTCCAGCAGACCTCCAGGCTTGGCTATGGCTTTCAGGGAACCCAGAGCACAGCATAGAGGTGATCCGTTTCTTTCCTCCTGGACACCGGAGCCACTTACTCAGTCCTGGGGTCCCACCTCTCCTTGTTTCCCTATTGTTGGGGAAGAGAAAACAACCTTACCCACCTCACCAGACTTAATTGTATTTCAGGGTTACTTAATGGGAAAAAAATTTCCAACTAAGATAGGAGCTTTCACTTCATTGCTCCCTCCATGTGCTTCACTCCAGACTGTCAGCAGTGCTTCTCCTCCTCATGCACACAGACAGGGCCCTGTTCTCTGCCTTGTCCCTAATTCCAAAAGAATGGGTTCTCATCCCACAAGCTTTTCTCTTCCCAGTTCTCTCTTCTAATTAACTGCTCAGCTAATTGTTATAGGACCACCACAGAGCTGGACTCCAGGGATCATCAAGTAAGAAACTGTAACAGTTAAAAGGTATTTACATCCCCAGACCCAAAAGTGTCTGGGCTCTACAAAAACAGACTTTAATATAACCATCTATTACTGTTAAATGCTCTCAACAATTGATCACCTGTGTCTCCTGGATGCTAAACTAGTAAAGGAAGCAGGTGCCTTAAAATAATCTGTCTCTGATAAAGCTTATCTCAGGTTAAAAAAATTAAAAACATGTTCCAATCTCTCTGTCTCTCTTATTAACACTAACCAGTACAAGCAGAGTACCAAACACTACAATGGTCATCAACCCAAGACTTTAATTTTCTCATGGCTGCTTCTTAATATGTTCAAAATTTGTGTGAGCTCCAGAATCTGGCTTGAATCCATCTGGACAGGTTGGATCTGCTTCAGATAAGGGCAACCCAAATTCCTAGTCCCGGGACTCCCCTTCCCTCACCCTGGGACCTCCCTGAAGGTAAATTTTTTTCTCTAAGCTTTTCTCTGTCTCACCAGAATCCTGTCAGACACAAAAGCAGCCAGAGTGCCAAGACAGCAGACGACAGCCCACCATCCCAGGACACCTGTCTACCTCAGAAACCCCCTTCCCTCCCCCCCAAGAGCCAATCGACGCCCGCCAAGTCAGCTGGAAGCAGTTTTTCCGGGAGAAACAACGCCCCTATTCCTGTTAACTCACTTTTTTATAATAAGCAAAAAGTATGGAATGTTGGATGGAATTCTGCCCACAGTCCAGCTGCATGGCCACACATGCACAGTTCAGGAGTTAAGCAAAGGGTCTTGTGTCTTATGTCATCAGTGTGTGCTGGCAACTACGTGTACGAGGCATGGTCACGCAATCAGCGCGTGCATGGTGTAGCTCCATAAGCCCGCCTGTGCATGTTCACCGGGAACCCTTAAAAAGCCGGATGCAGACCCCATCCTCTCCCCCCCATCTTCCCTCTCTCTGCACATACTTTCCTCCCCAGGCCTGGCTGTCCTCTCCCCACCCCCCATTCCTCCTAATGAAAAGCTCTGAATCCTGATACTGGGTTCTGTTGTGACCGTGACCTTTTCATGCAGTAACCAGTACCATAACCAGCGCTGTTTATCATTCATTTCAAGGACAATGTGAGATGACTTGATGTTAGGGAGTTGAGGGGGTGCTCCTTTTGTAAGGGAGACCCAGGTAGCAGAAACTGGACTTGCAGACCAGGGATTAGGAATCTGGAAATGCTTTTGTGAATAGCCCTGCCCTTCATCTACCACTTTCCTTAAACACAGAAGCCATGTAGAGGAAATAAGGGGAAGGAGGTCCTGGAACCAGCTCTGCATTTATGCTGAGGCTCCATAAGGTTGCAGCTCAGGTCAATGGACAACCATGCTCTTCTCTGGCTGTTGAGATGAGGAATGCCACTTCAAAGGTACAAGGGGACAGAGGGACCTGTACCTTATGGTCGGGGCTACAGTTGTTCCAGATATACTT